AAATTGCATAATTCTATAATACTATGAAGAAATAATCGTTTCTTTGTAAAAGTCCAAAAAACCTTCATATTTAGAAATTAATTTCTCACGAATTATTTACCTATCCCAATTAATTTTTGCTTTACTGTCTTCATTTATACTTTGCCAAATGTGATATGAAATTTTACTACTTTCTTCCATTGCTTTAAAAAGATATATTGGAATAAAAAAAGGGCTGTTTTCTACCATTTTTCGGTATAATTTAGGCAACCAGAAATGCATCAGTTTCCATCCTTAAGCAACTTGTTCGAATCCGACCGGCGTTGTTTACCAGACACCTCGTCCGGAAGGAGATCCGGACGGGAATCGTCAGGTTTTTCTCAACCGTAGGTCGCTAATTAAATGATTGGAGAGACGGGAAAGCTCTGTAAGTATCGCCATTAAGGAATTCGTTGACAAGATCAAGAAAACTAAAGTTAATCGATTGTCCTTATTTCGTAAGTTTTCAACGCGCTATTTCATTTCCATTGGGCCAAAGTTTAGTCAACTAGCAGCGTCAAAATTGGCTTGTCTTCTTATTGGCTCCTGTGTTGTGGTGCACTGGAGTATTCTGGTCACATGGGTTTTGAAATACATCGCAATACTATCAAAAATTTTGACATAGAGGTAAAAACTGAATAGATGAGATCAATTTTCGTGGATAACCATAAACGCCATATCGCAATAGAATGACGTACTTCCACAATTGAGAATGACATAACTAATAAAACACATAACATCGCAAATCCATACTTTCAAAAATTTTATCACCTCTCTCTGAAGGAACTGGAATGAAGTTTTCTTGAATGACTATAAATATCTTGTTACTTCGCAGTCAAAAGAGATACGTTGCCTAAAGGATCTCGCATTGTCTTTATGGAAATGTAGACTTGATCAAATTGGCTGAAATTGTGGTCAATTGTTGGTTTTGTGTTACCTACTGACCAACAGTTTTCACAGTACTTGCACAGACAACATAGCTTCGCTCCACATAGCTACCGGAATAGGACAGCAGTTTTAAATTTCCCAATTGCCGATAGAGTACACCATCAGCAGCATTTTAGAAAGATTCAAATGAAGCGTCCGGCATTCCTAGACAAAGGTTATGCGTATCCTAGCAACGCATAAACAACAGTTTGGCAATGTTGTCACGCGTACGCACGGATATATTTTGTACATTTTTTAATCAATGCCTATTTTTTGTGTTACCGTACTTACCTACCTAAAAGTATGATGTAGTTATTGATAAAAATATTTTAAAGAATGAACAAACACCTATGTAGACAATCGGATATTCTGCAACAGCGTCACAGATATGTTATTTAATCATAATTTCATTAATTAGCTACTATTTTCATTTTTTGGTATTGAAATACTGCAGAAAATATATTTTTATAGTAACATACCTATATTTTTTTAATATTTAGTGATGCCATAATTTTTATAAATTTATTTAATATACAAGTTGGTTTTTAATACGTCGCGGAAGGTACAGGGTTTTTGTTTGTATTTGACACCCACATACAGCTTTAATCATTAAAGTTGGAAAAAAACTTTAAATATAAATGTAAGATTTTTCCTTTATTATATTCCGACATTATCAAAATTTGCTGGTATAAAATATCCGTTGTTGAAAAAATTTAAAGTAGATTCTTATAAAAATAACAAAGAACTTTTTATAACTAATACATATATACTATAACTTTATACATATATTTTATGCATATATTTTGAAACATAATGATAACATAAGAATACCTAAAAACAGGATTGTCAAACATTTCGTCCTGTATTTTTTCTCTCAATACTTGTAAATTTTGAATATATTTTGTTGAAATGTCCCCAAAAACATATGTTAAAGAAACTGAGATCGGGGCTGTTATCTAAGATTTCTAATAATATTTTTTACAGTATTTGTTGACGGAATTCTTCCTCCCAAATAAAGAGTGACCGCAAAATCCGCCTGTATTTGAGACTTTGACAGAGACGACAGGAAATGTCCTATAAATATTCTAAAAATATCCAAAAACCCGTCATGAAAAATGAAAATGAGCATCACTTTCAGTTTTTCGAAAATCACCCTTATTTAGGGGTTGAAAAGAAAACAAAAGTGAATAAATTAAGAATCATCAACAGTTTTCACATTTTTTCACATTATTTAAATTTTTTGTATATTTGGGGGATGATTTTACCCCTTGGGGGTATGGGAGTACTTGTGTTTAAATTATTCTAATGAATGTATTTTGAAACATAATTTTTTTCATGCATTATAATTATTTTATGTACTTTGAAGCCGATGGTTGAACTTAGGTGTGGTTTCACCCTCATTTAGGGGTATTTTCCTTCGGATCTAGTGATTGTGGGTTATTAACGGTTCAATTATCACGTATAAAAGAAAAAGAAAACAAATTGTAACTTTTAATATATTTTTTGCATTTTTAGGTGTATAGGGGATGATTTCACCCTTTTAGGGATATTACGGGTTCATTTTCAATCCGGACAAGACCGTATCAAATACGAAATGAGATATTTTCACGTTCATAATATTATTTTGATAACATAGAAATATTTGGGGTTTTACAGCATTCAACCCTTAAATAAGGGTGATTTTCGAAAAACTGAAAGTGATCATTCTTTGCCCATATTCCAGCCGGACTCTAGCAACATTTTTGTTATTTAAATAATAAGTTTCATTATGTTCCATTTTTCATTAGCAGAATCCATTCTAATTAAAAAAAATTACAATGGGTTATTCTGATAATGATAAATCCCAGATTTTTTGAAAGGAAGGTTCGTTTGGGTCATCTTTGTCGGATGGTATGCAAGAGAGACAGAACTATAATGTGCGAGAGAGATAGAGTGATTGTGTCGTCATAAAGGGCTTCTCTTTCTCTCTTTGTCTTCAGGAGTCTGTGGGGCTTCCCCAGTCTTCAAGACACCTATTTTGATGTTTGGCACATGTCAATAATGTTAATTAGCAAGTTTTCGAGTCATTCGATTAATTTTTTCTATAAACTTTTCCCAAAAGTGACTGTTTTAATATTCTACTCATACTACTTTGCAGTCATCATCAGCAGAACTAACTCAGAGCACTATAAGCAAGAAAAAATTGATTTTCGGACCCAAGTACTATAGATACTTTTGGTCAGTAATACAAAACCAACAACTTCAGCCAATTTGACCGAGCCCGCATTTTCACAAACACCTAGCGGGGGTTTTTAGGCATGACATAGCTAGTACAATATGTAACATTCCAATACTATCAGAAAAATTTGTCACAACAAACGCCTCGAATGCTCTAGCGCCTGGACTAACAGCTGTATGTTTGATTTTAAATTATTATTATTAATCTGTCTTTGTTGACGCTTTTCGCAGAGACTGAGCTGCGGGACATGGTGAACGAGGTGGACCAGGACGGCAACGGGACCATAGAATTCAACGAGTTCCTCCAGATGATGTCGAAGAAGATGAAAGATGCGGATGGGGAGGAGGAGCTTAGAGAGGCCTTTAGGTGAGTAACGTCACAGCTCTAGGCTCGCTGTTATTCGTACATGGTTCTAGGGTTTTCGACAAAAACAACGACGGTCTGATATCTTCAAACGAACTGCGTCACGTGATGACCAGCCTGGGGGAGAGGCTGTCGGAGGAGGAAGTCGATGATATGATCAAGGAGGCCGATCTGGATGGAGATGGTCAAGTTAACTATGAAGGTATAACGGAATTATCATTTTTTTTACTTGATTGGTGACTTGGTCACATCCCTCTCCCCCACCCCCACAGTTCTGGACTAATATTTGCCATTAGAATGACTTGGGCTCTATCTGAGGATATAATTTTTAACATTTCTTCCTTTTATAATCTATTCTTTGTCTTATTTCAGAGTTCGTGACCATCCTCACAGCGAAGAACTAAGAATAGACGGCGAGAACTTGATCCAAAAATCACCTAGTCCTGTTCGTATCATGATAAACAAAATATACAGCTACCTTAAAAAAACAATGTCCCAAACCTCCTTTTATGTATAAGCACTGCTTCACTTTTTCGATAATTATTATAACTAACGCTCTAAGATTATATTTTAGTGAAACAATATGGTTCTGAGATACAGGGTGCAAGAACTTACTTGTCTACTATAAATAATTTCTATACGAATCTATTTGTAACTTCGAGAAGCAAAGAAATAATATAAGGTAAACATTGATATACTTACAGCAGGTACATTAAATCTGTCCAGTTTTACAGTGAACAATATATGGGGTGTTTCTTAAAAATAACGTGGGTCGCCAAAGCCAACCTCGTTTGGTTATTTTCTGTCGCTGCGTTGTAGTATAACCCGTTGTACAAAAAATGAGGTGATGTACCACTTGTAAACATTTTTTTGCGACATGTTTACAAAAACACGAGTAGCTCTGCAGCGACTGAATATATGGACTTGAAACTGCATAGATATCAAGAACAGTACTACCAACCTTCAAAAAAACAATTGTATGCTTTCATAATACCCGCGAATTTCAAATAAGTAATTCACCTTATTTTTTGGGGTATTTTTATTAAAAAAAAAATAGTGAAAAGGAATGAAAAAATTAAAACCTTCCTTTTTCTTTGGGGATTTTTCAATATGCAAATAAATTTAAAATACATACAACAAATGAAAAAAAAATGATTATAGAAGAGGTAATAAACTACCGTAAAGTATATCCCTGCGAAAAAAAAGGAATTTCAAATCCGAAAATACCAAACAAACATGAAATAACATTATACGGGGTGTCCCGTTCATGTTTCAAAAAAACTTGTGTGCAAGTTCCTCATGGAAAAATAATACAGGTAGTTCATGTAAAGTTTTTTTCTGAGACGCCCAATTTTCGAGATACAGTGTGTTGAAGTTGTTACTTTCCAAATGGTTTTCCTTAATTATCTTTACATCGGCTAAAGATAAAAATGTCAAAATGTGTACATTAGTAAACATCAACTGTGCGTTAAGAATAATGTGCAAACTGTTTCTTTCTGAAAAGCAGTGTCGCCGATACAGGTAGTTGGAGGAGTACAATCGAAAAAAATATGTTAAAAGTCAAAATTTATTACATTTCTAAACGGTTCTGTAAACTCTAAAGCATACTACAAAAAAAATATATACTTGTCGAAATTCGGTAGCATGTACCATTTTCGAGAAAAATGAAGTTGCATAGAAGGAAATGGGGGACAATTTCAGTATCTACTGTCGTATTTCGCGTTTGCACATTTATTTAATTGTGCAGCTGTTTTGTTCTGTATGTCTCCGAGTCTGTTTCCTAATATTTTTCTGTTTTTATCACTTTTTTAAGGAGGTTTATCTGATTTGGAATTGACATACAAATATTCGTAAAAAAAATAATATTAGCTTATTAATATGAAGAAAATCCTCAAAAAAAATTATTACTAGTTTGGATACCTAAGAGACAAGATATGAATAAAATAATTTTTCACGATTTAGTACGAAGTCTTATGAGAATGCAGATTTTTTTGGTCTTTTCACATGGAATGCGCAACAATTGACGAACAGTTTCCACAGCAACTTGTATAAATAGGAAACCGATATCTAAGGAACTGTATGACAGCTCGTAGAAATCGATTAGGTACTTGTAAGATACATAATTTATAATAATTCTCCCTCAAACTGACGTCGTTGACTAACTTAACCTCCATATGCGTGATAGCGGCAACGCCGCGGTCTCGACGTAGCGTATTATTTGAAATTTGCAGGTGTCCAAGTAAACAGAATGCGAGCGAGTCAGCCAAATGCAACGTTGCCAAATCTAAAGGCTTACTACCTACTGTAGTTACTAGCAAATCTACAGAAACTCTCGTTAGACTTTAGACGTACTTCCGTACCCGATTAACCTCCTTAAGCATTCATGTCCATCATCAATTCAGTCCATTCAACAATTGTTTATTTTAGTAATGGTAGTGTAGTAGTTTACAAAATCCAAAATTAGATAATAATAATTAATTAATAACCATAATCTGTTTATTGATTTACTTTTTTAAATGTTAGTTTACAACATACTTAAAATAAATTTTAATTTTTTTTTTTCTTTAGTTAATAAAATGTTTTACAATTTAACTGTTTCATGTGATACGTAAGAAATTAAAATTATCTTAAATGCAAATACTGTTGGTAGCTAAATGTCTTGAGCTCATTCAATAGTAAGGTACTCTTTCAATTTAATATTTTGTTAATGTACTTGTGCCACTTTATATGAGCAAAAAAAATTCAACTTCATTTTTCTCGAAAATGGTACATGCTACCGAATTTCGACAAGTAGTATCCTTTAGAGTTTAGAGTTTACAGAACCGTTTAGAAATGTAATAAATTTTGACTTTTAACATATTTTTTCTTCGATTTTACCCCGTCAATTACCTGTATCGGCGACACTGCTTTTCAGAAAAAAACCGTTTGCGTCTTAAGGCACAGTTGATGTTTACTCGTGTACAAATTTTGACATTTTTATCTTTAGCCGAATTAAAGATAATTAAGGAAAACCACTTGGAAAGTAACAACTTCAACACACTGTATCTCGAAAACATGGTGTCTAAGAAAAAAACTTAACATGAACTACCCCTATTATTTTCCCATGAGGAACTTGCACACAAATTTTTTTGAAACATGAACGGGACATCCTGTATATCGATGCCAGACCTCAAACACATAAAAAAATTGCTTGTCAAACAAAATTTAATATCAACATAGCTTCGGAATTTGATTGAATGAAACGAAATGCCGAAAGGATAATAGTTTTTTATACAGACAAATAAAAAGTCCTTTTCCAGTTTTCTCTTTACTAAAGTGGCGGAAACGTGAACTTTTTTTATTAAAAAAATAAGGAAAAAACCATCTTCCGTTAGAAAAAAATTGCAAAAAAAAGCAAAAAACATGCACAGGGTGATCCATAACTCTCCTCCTAAAGGAACATCTTGTACAATAGAACAATTTAAACCATGTGGTGGAGGGGACGGCCTAGTAATATTTTACGAAAGATACCTACATATAATTACATAATTCTCCTTTGCACAGTTTTAATCCTCTACAATTTCAAATTCTTTTACCACAGCATATGTAAACCATCAGTTTCACGCTGATTTACATATGCTGTGTCTACACCTGAAAATAGAAGTGAAAACAACAAATGCTTAATTTTGCCGCACCGTACTTGTGAATGTTCTGTGGAAGAGACAATAATGCAACTATTTCCGTTCCAAAAGTATATTTTTTCTTTGTTTCTCAATCCTCAAAGAGTAATCTCCATTAGCTGTAAAGTATAAGTGAAAACAAAGTCGTTAATAATAAAGAGTGTATACAATAAATTAACTAAGTAACGTCGTGTGAAAATGTCCACACTTAGAAATTATTTTTAGTAATTTTCCTACGCCTTCCTAATAGATGAATTGAAGATATGTTGAGTAATTTTTCGACGTGTATCGTTTTTATAATACAATTTCGATTTATATAGCGTAAGTGTGAAGATGTATTCTATCCCCATATCCATTCAATAAAAGGGAGACTGACGAAAAGCTTCGAGTAGGCACGTATCAAGAAAAAAGTGTGTAATTCGCTGCCGCCGCCGGACTTTTAACTTATTTTTCCGGCAACGCAAGACTATACACTTCCTCGAAATATAATGTACTTAATCTCTCCATGTTTTTCGTCAGTCTTTCCTTTGGTATTTAGCCTACTGTCATTATATTATAATTAGTTGCAATATTTATAAAAACGTTTCGTCGTTTACGTAAAAGTTTATATTAAATACTGAATGAGTTACATTTATTCATATATTTGCAATAAACTTAAAAATGTTTCATACCACAAGTTGGTTCTTTATAAATAAACTAATGCAAACAATTAAAAGGTCGAAAGAATTTCCGAAATTTTTCCGTGATTTTTGACAGACTGTATTTAGGTGAAAAATGGTCGTATCGGGAATTAAAGAAAATAATTTTGAAGCTCTAAGATTCTAGTTTTTAGATCTTTCGGTCGAAATTTTTTAGGAGCTACGGTTATCAGGCAATTCTAAGAAATAGCGGGACAAAAAAATGTTGGCAAAGTTCACGAACTTGGATAGCCCCGGATAACCCGATAGCTTGTTTATTCAGCTTCAATTTCTTTTTTTTTTAATTTCGACACATTTTTAATTGAAAAGAAGAATTGAAAGATAGTTTCAAAAACTGGAATAAATTTCCTTATAACATGCCGCCGCAACATTTCGGAAAAAATGTTATTTCATTTACACGAACTTAAAAAAAAAAACAGGAAAAAATGGGTAATTTATGGTTTTTTAGAAAATTTACGGCTAAATTAGAAATATTCACGAAATGATTAATGTTAAGCATGATTTTTACATTTTTACAGTTCGATATACCAATAACAACCCTGTGAAGTTTCATGCTTTTTTTAATTCCTGATACGACCATTTTCACCCAAAAACAATCAGTGTCAAACATCACGGAAAAATTTCAGAAATTCTTATGACCCTTTAATTGTTTGCATTGGTGTATATTTTTTATATTAATCTACAGGCTCCCAAAATTCATAACGATTGGAGTAAGGCACATTATTTGTTACACTTAAAATTATAAAAGTAATATTATTTTGATATTATTACTTACATACATATCACGCGATTTGTTACGGTACGTATGTCTGACATTTATTGCTCGTGAGATACTGCCTCTGCCAATATAGTTTATCTACGTTAACATTTACATTTCGCAGCAGAAGTCTCCCACATAAATGTACCGCAATAAATGTCAGAGCTGTATGTAGTAAAACATCATTATTTTGGGATTCACATATCAAATTTTCTAAGCACATAAAGACGATTTTGAAGAATAATAAGTACTCGTTTTATGTACTCCTAGTTTAGCGTTGTTGTTTTTGCTAACAGAAAAAAATACACATCCTCACATCAATCACTGTTTGAGTATTAGAACACCACGAAATAATCACTTTTCTTTTGTTTTTTTTTACGAAAGTTAACCTAAAAAACAATCGACAACAAAGCGTTTAATTTGTGATTAATTATTTAAATTTATTTTAAAAAATAAGTAGGTTCTGGACATTCCAAATTTGTCACTGTTTAGCAATACAGTCAACTGGGTCATTGTTAAGATTATTACAAAAATTGCAATACTGGTTGAGAGATATTTGCCAAGAAATTATGAAAAAAAATCAAAAGATAATATGCTTTGTTTCATATGTGAGCAATATACACAACCTGTAACATCAAGCTAAAAAAGTGACAAACAAATTGGTCAACTTTGTTGGCAAAGAACTGTTACTTTATTTTTGAATTGTTTCCAAAACATGCTAAGATTAAAACCAATCAGAAACTGAAATGGTGAAAGTGGTGACATCTTCCCGGCAATAGAGCAGTTCGACTGTTTCAACAAAAGATATCACTGTGGATAAGCATCGTTCGAGTTTGGATCTTATGAACTGAAAACTAGATATATCAAAATATTTATATAATTTAACAATAAAAAAAAAGTAACTAATAAGACTCATATTTAATT